TATAAACTAAAATACACTTATGGTGAATATATAATGATAATTATAATATATTATAATAGACCAAAACAGAACAAACATCTAACTAAAACATAAAACTAATATTTAATTTGTTATTTTGTTGTTTTGTGCTGCATTTGTTGAACACCTATCTTGTGCATGACGAAGCCATCCTCTAATATATACCCTATAGCCATCTTTTGGCTATACCTGGGAAAGTATGTCGTAACGTTGGCATTTTGCCTAAACATTTTTGTTCTGGAATCTCTAAAAGATTTCAATATTTGAGGGGCTGCGCCCCAATGCTAAATACCATATTTTCAGATGGGTTTCAGTACTGATTTTTAAATTAGAACTTTGCTAGACATCGACACTTTAGATTTATGACCCAGCAGCCAATATTGTTGTCTGAGTTTATCTTCGAGTTTTCTACGCTTTTGACAAATGCGTATTTTCTACGTGAGCCGGCGGTCCAGATTGAGTCCTAAATATTTAACAGTATCCTCATAAGGTAGTTTGGATTTGGTGTTATGTAGTATGTATGTGTGTACGTTTGAAAACAATTTTTGTTCTTGATTTCGAAAGCACGGATCTACCGATTTGAATGATACAAAAAGTTTATTCGTATAGAAGGGAAGACGTGCTAATTAGTTTTTTTGCTGATCTAGTCCTCGAAAAGTGCCAAAAATGACTACACAGGTTTTGAGAACAGGCTGCAACGCGAAGCTTACGTGCTTCGATACATATTTCGTATCTAAAACAGCTACGCAACGCAATCCCTTACAATAAACGTTAATTGATTTCAAAATATACAATAAATTGAAAAAAATTTAAATTTTTATTTGTTCAGAAATTTCAATTATTTTTAAAGCTTTTCAAAATGTAAAATAACCTTAGCAATTAAAAAAGCTCATGCAGTTATAGCTTTATATTAGACTTAGGAGTATTCAGTAATACATCAATATATTTTATTATAACTTTTTTTTATAATTATTAGATAAAATTCTTCAGCTAGCCATCAGATAAGATATAGCTCTAAACAATTTTAATAATATTATATTTAACTTAATAATAATATGCAACGTATATTTTTTTATATGTATTATAATGATTTAAATATCCTTCTTGATTAAACTAGCAAGAATACAATATTTAACCAAATATGCTCTACTTTAACAAATTAATCCTATATAGTTTCTGTATATTAATTTCCGTAGGGTAAGTTCCAATAATGGGCCGAAAATCTTCATGTTTCGGAGGATTCTGAACACTTTGGTATACCTCAGAAAACATGGATGTGTGTGTGTGCGCGCAATTTTTTGTCCACGTTTTTTGGCGCACGGATCGGTTCAAAAAACATTCGATTCTCATTGATAGGGAGATGTGTTGATTAGTTTTTGGCAAAGGCAATTCCTGCCGTTACGGAGATACGGAGCAAAGAGTGCAGAAAATAGAATGCGAGCTTTTGAAAGAGCGGAGCATCCGATTTGAATGATCTAAAAACATTCAATTAGTAATAATTGGGAGAAGTGGTTATTTGTTTTTGGCAAAAGCAGGCCCGGCCATTTCAGTTTTTGAAAGAACTATGCATCCGATTTGAATGATTCAAAAAACTTTCTGCTTGTGTTGACATAAGAATTGCCTTCGGTAAAAAAAATACTTCAAAGATATTTTTTTTCAAAAAATATTTTTTTTTGTATATCGAAAATAATTCATATTTCAATTTTACTTCTGGCTAAAGTTCTAAAGCTCACTTAAATACCTTAAATAAATAGTTTTAACTTTTTAATTCAGTTATATATAATTCTTAGGAATATTAGACAATATTACAATATTTATATTAATCTATTTGAAACATTTAATATTCCTCGAACATTTCGTTACAGTATGGGAAGTTCTTGCAATTTGCCTAAAGACACGGTGCCATACACTATTAGTTTTATTATATATATATGTGTTGTTCTCAAATTCAGCTATAATGTTTATAATATAATGTTTTTTTTATCAAATTCATATTTTATTTCCTTTGGACCATTATATACATGTATTGCAGTTGATTGAAAATTGTTATCTAAATAAGCGTATAATTATGATTTTATTGTGAATATGTTCTATTGTGTTATCTGTAAATTTTGTACATATAAATATAAGGTAACATTAAAATAATTTAGTAGCGCATACGAACAGGTAATATTAAGATGAAGAAACTGCCAATATTAATCGCCTTGATCGGATGCGTTCTTTCTGAAGAAATAGAGGATCGCATTGTCGGCGGAACGGCAGTCGATATAAGAGGTTTTCCTTGGCAGGTATCAATTCAAACCGAAAATCGTCATTTTTGTGGTGGTTCTATTATCGAGAAAAGCTGGATATTAACTGCCGCACATTGTGTACACCGGTAAGTATTAAAATAATCTAATTAATTTAAAGTATAATGCAAATACTGCAAACAAAAAGGATGCCAAGCTTTACCACTCATTGTTTGTTTTAGGTATGAAGATGTCGAACTAGACGACTTCCTTAAAATTCGTTATGGAACTAACAACTGGCAATTCGGCAGCGTTAATATAGTAGAAAAAGTATTTGTTCATCCAGATTACAACCGAACGACTCTAGACTGTGACGCGGCCCTTCTTAAGCTGAAAACCCCAATTACCTTCTCAAATAGCGTTCACAAAATAACTTTGGCCAAAGAAGGTCAAGATCCTGCACCTTATTCACCTGCGATTGTTACCGGCTGGGGCGTTACATCGGTAGGTATATAATTTCGGTTAATAAACTTAAACTTAAAACTATATTTTTATTTTGGCGACGATCAAAAATAACATCAAAACGGTTTTCATCACCGTAAGACTATATTTACTACTATACTTTTAAATAGAAAAAAAAAAATAACTGAGACAATTAATATATAATGAAAAATACATCAAGAGCTGTAACTCTGAAGTTACTAAAGTAAATAGCAAAATACCTCAATCCGTGAAAAAAAAGCGAGAACTATTTTATATAAAATAATATCGTTCAAACATAAGCCGTCGTTCAGAAAAAAGGCCGTAGCAGTAGGTATCTATTAAGATTGCATCTATTAATGAAAGACTCATTGTCATGTATTTATAACCTGATTACATTAATTATTGGATTAGTTTACATTAACAATGCAATATATTTTGAATATAGGTGAACATTTTTATTCTTATAATATATGAAATAATTCAACTAACAGGAAGATGCTGCTAGTGTTTCACAGCTTTTACAAGGAGCTGTAGTTCCAATCGTAAACAGGCATGAATGCAAAAATGCAGACCCTGAATTTTTCTCTGATGTAAATCAAAAGTAAGTATATATAAATCTATTAAAAAAGTATTGTGTAAATCTATTAATATTTTACGGAATACTAGTTTTTCTTATCAAAGTTCAATATTTTTCACTTCCCGTTGAATAAGTTATTGTAATCGTCTAAAAATCGAAAATAAATATTTTTGCATTATTTCACGTTTTGAAGGTTTCTGAACATTTTGGCATACCTCAAAAAAAAAATAGATGTGTGTGTATGTATGTATAGATACAATTATTCGTCCACGTTTTCGGGCGCACGGATCAACCGGTTTAATTAGTTAAAAAACATTCGATTTATATTGATGTCTCCCTATCAATATAAATCGAATCGAAATGCTTACTACTTTTTGTCAAAAGCAGGTCCAGTCGATTCGGAGACACAGAGTGCAGGTAAAAAAAATCGAATTTTTGAGAGAACGAACATCCGATTAGAACGATCAAAAATCAATTCGTAATCGCAGGGAAAAGTTGTGATTAGTTTTTGGCAAAGGCAGGTCAAGCCGTTTTGGAGATACTGAGCTAAATGTGCAAAAAATGGCAGTTTTTAAGAGAACTAAGCATCCGATTTGAATGATTAAAAACACTTTTTGCTTTTGGTAAAAGAATTTTTTTTCACTTTTTTTAATTTCCAAAAAAAATTTTTTTTTTGAATATCAAAAATAATTCAGATTTTAATTTTAATTCTAGCCAAAGTTCTAAAGCAAATAAATAATTTTAACTTTGCAATTCAGTTTATATAGTTCTTGTAAATATTAGACAATGTCTTTCATTTTAAATTCGATCATGAAGGTTACAGTAATTATAAGAATCTGTTTGAAAACATTTAATATTCTTTGAATATTTCATTATGGCACGGTAAGTTCCAGCAGTTTGCCTTACGGCATGATGCCATACACCACTAGTTTTAATTTATTATTAGTATTTTAAGTTTTTGTTTTTATTCTGGTTTGATTGACTGAATGATGATACATCAAGTGTTGAAACGTAAAGGACGTTTTTCCTTTAACCTTTTTTTGAATTCGACGAATGGCTGCAAATTATTAACTTTCCGAGAGAGAAGTTTATGTTTTCATGATAAAACCCGATTCATAAATTTAATTATTTTGTTTTCTGGACGTTTCAATCGATTCTCAATCGAATGAGACCAAATTTGGGAAAAGTATGTATGTGTACAGTGTGTGCGTGAGTGTGTATGTGTGAACAATTTTTTTTTGCCGTAAATCGACGTTTTCTCAGAAACGTCTGAACAGTTTATCAATTTTGGGCGACGATCAGCTAAGTCATTTCTTTGTAAATAACAGAAAAGTGAAACATTTTTCGTCCACGTTTTAGCCCGCAATTCTAAATCGATTTAGAAAATTCAAAAACCATTCGAAAGATATTGGTTGGGAATGGACTTGATTAGTTTTTGGTAAAGATCGGCTTGACCGTTTTCCTATAATGAGGTGTTAAAAATTTTTTTTAGACGATTTCTATTAATTAATCTACCGTCAAAAAAGTTAACTATAAATATATATATATATATATATATATATATATATATATATATATATATATCGCTTGATATTATATGTAGATATATACATAAATGCATATATAATAATAATAATAATGATTAGTGCTGCCCTAGAATAGGTTTGTGAGTTAAGTTAAACTCCAACTCGATTCAGGGAAGAAGATTTCTCACTGCCATTTCACATCGCAGTGCCCAAAATGGGCTATTTTGAGTAGGACATATATATATATATATATATATATATATATATATATTTATATATTTCTTATAACTAAGAGATATTTGAAATATGATTTTCTACCATATCTTATCGCTTGGAAAATGACTTTAGATAATTTATATGATTAATTATTTTAGTATGATCTGTGCTGGATATATTGATGGAGGTATTGATAATTTATATGATTAATTATTTTAGTATGATCTGTGCTGGATATATTGATGGAGGTATTGATGCCTGTCAAGGTGATAGTGGTGGTCCAATGATCAACATGAATAATAAACTAATAGGAATTGTTTCATGGGGATATGGATGTGCAAGGGAAAATGCTCCTGGGGTATATGCCAGAGTTTCAGCATCATCAATCAGAAAATTTATAAAAAACGTGGCTGGCGTATAAAATAATGATTATTCTGCCTTTCTGAATTTCTAAAGGGTTCTAATTATACAAAATTTACATTGGCACCTTATTTTTTGAGATAATATTGAATAAATCTTTTTGTATAAACTTTATTACAATGTAATTTGTTGTGCTCAAATTCTTGACCATTTTTTATGTTTCAAGGACCTCTTTACAATTTTATGCATTTCATATATTCTATTTCTAAGTCACTTCCTAAAGCACTTTTAAATGTAGTTGTAGTACATACTAATGTTGACTACACTACATATTAATGTTGACTTAGAATATCATAAGTATATTATTCTAACTTTGAATATTTTTTATAATAAAACCACTTTTCACAGGGCTACCTTATCATAATTCAAAGTTTCATCATAATAGTCAAATTATTTTTCAGCAAATAATTACATCACATCGGATAAACATAATTTTTATCGAAAATGTGGATAATGTTTTTTTTGATAATAATCTGATTTTTAGATAATAATTGGTATCTATAAATATAAACTGACTATATTATCAGAACATAATACAGCAGCTACCTCACATAACAATTATGACTTTAAATAATATCAATAGCATATTATTCTAACCTTGAATATTTTTCTATAATAAAGCCACTATTCACGGGGCTACCATGATAATTATCATCATAATTGCAATGATGATAATTATCATCATAATTCAAAGTTTCATCAAAATCGTTAAATTATTTTTCAGCATTTAATTACATCACATCGGATAAACATAATTTTTGTCGAAAATGTGGATGTATTTTTTGATAATAATCTGTTAAATTTTATTAATATTGTTATCTATAAAAATATAAACTGACTATATTATCAAAACATAATACAGCAACTACCTCACATAACAATTATGACTTTAAATTATACTGTGATTCGAATTTACAAATATTTTAAATTTGTTCATCTTTAATAATTTGATAATTATTAAATATAATTCTAAAACTATCTTTCAAATATGATACACTAAGATTATATAATCACAACACATATATAATAGTATATTCACAACAAAATAGCTATTTAAATTAATACAAAAGTTAAATAATATATAATTTGTTGCAATTTTAACAAATCTCAAATTATAAATACATATAATGTTTTTATGAAATGAAATGTATCAGCTATAATGTTTTGTCTCAAAATACGTATTCCATTTTCGTTGCATGATCATATTTGGTTGATTGAAATCTTTATTATTTAAATAGGTATACAATTATATTTGTTGGTTATATTATGTAAATTAGAATGTTTTATCATTGTGTACGTATTTTTATAATCGAAATAAAATCGAAAAAAAATCGAAAATAATTTTTTTTATATATCTTTATGTTTCAAGACCCTCTGATCATTTTGGCATACTTTATAAAAAATTGATATATATGTGTGTGCGTAAATGTGCGGCGCGCGCGTTTTTGTGTGTATGCGGATACAAATTTTCGTCCACGATTTCGGGAACACGGATTAACCGATTTGAGTAATTCCTTATCGATCGCTTTGAGAGAACGAAATATTCGATTTGAATAATTAAAAAAAACGTTTTACTTATATTGACTAAAAGAAAAACTGTTCATATTTCTGGAAAGGCAGGTTCAGCGATTATGGAATCTCAAGAAAAAAAGTGAAAATAAACGTCATTTGGCGGTCAAAAATGATTATTAGACATTTGCACATCATTTTATCAGATATTTTATAGAGATTTTAATAATGCGTACACATTTGTGTCAATTGTTTTAGGTTCCGTACCAAGATTTTTAATTTTGAACTTTATTTATATGGTTCAAACAAATGTTCTTGACATTTTCGACAAGAATAACCGATTTGTATTATTGAAAAAATGTCCGATTCGTACTCAATCGCGAAGCGTTTTTGAAAAAGGCGTATCTTGCCGTTCCGGAGGTATGGAGCGCAAAGAGTGTAAAAATAGTCATTCGGTTTTTGAGAGAACGAATCATCCGATTAGATTAATTCAAAAATCTTTTTGCTTGTGCAGGCGGGGTGCAAAAAATGGTTTTACAAGAAAGTTCGCAGTTTTAAAAATTTTCAAAAAAAAAATCAAAGTTTTCAAAAAAAATCCAAGCTTCAAAAAGCTCAAATTTTCGAAATTTTTCATCATTTTCAAAAAAATCCAAATTTCGAAATATAACAAATTTAAAAAAAAACTTTTCTTACAACAATTTGAGAAGATTCAAAAATTTCCAAATTCTCAAAAATATTAAAAAAATCGATTTTTTTTTTAAGAATTCCAAAAAAAAAACTCAAACTTTTAAGAAATTCCAGAATTTAAAAAAAATCAAATTTAAAAAAAATTGAAGAAATTTCTTGTAAACATACACATATGTGTTGTTTGCAGAATACGCTCGTCGGGCAATAAGTATAGTTATAAATTTACAGTAGGTATTTATATTAATAATCTAATTGAAATTATTTAAAACAATTATTGATTATTTTCATTCCTCAATTTTTAATTTCGATACGAGAAGTTCCAGCAATTTGCCTTAAGGCACGATGCCAAGCACCACTAGTTAAGTTTTGGCAAATATACAGACATTTGAAAAAGTTTCAATAGAAATATATATAAAAAAAATTAAAATATGATTAATTAAAATATTTACGATGTATTCTTTATGTTGATCTTGTTATTGTTAAACCTAGGTTAAGGCAGTAAAAATTGCGCTTATAAATTATCTTTTTTATGATGTTCTTAATGAGAATACAAATCGCTTTGCATTGTATTTAAAAACAAAATACTTGTTTAATTTATACATAATTTTTACTCATATAAATATTTTTTTCTATTTTACGTATGTTTACAACAAATGAGTGCAAAATTAAAATATTTAGCTATAAATATATTTTAATTTTAAAATATTGTTACATACCGATTTCAAAATTATGTGCATATAAATATTCTTTGGAGTATATAAATAATAGAACATTTTAAAAACTTAGTGCAGATAGTTCAGGAAGAAAAATGAGGAAGTTAATATTATTACTTGCAATTCTGGTATTCGTTTCTTCGAGACGTGTGGCGCGAAGACGTAAGTTTAAAAATATTTTTACATATGAAATTTTTGCGAAAAACTATTATTATCATGGAAAATTGTTGAAAATTCCCATATTGTGAAGAAATGCCACAAGTTTTATTATTACTTTTATTTTATTATTATTACTATTGCTATTTTTTTAACAGCTATTAGTATTCGCAAGCTTAAATCATAAATTTTGAAATTTGAATTATTCTTAATTTTGAAAAACGTGAAAAAAATTCATTAAGTTGAAAAAACTATTTTTTTAGCATATTCTTAAGTAAATTTTAAAATTTGTGAGAAAACGATTTTTGAGTCAATAACATGGATATTTTATCGTTATATTAAAATTATGAGGATATTCAAAATTAATTGAGTCTAACATAAATCTTTTTAAATTTTTATATATGGAAAACGTTAGTGTTAATTTTAGGTTGTCATGGACGTTAATTATATTAGTACTAAGCCATAAATCGAATGGAATATAAATTTAACTTCCAAAATGAAAAAATTGGTCACATTTAACAGAAAATAAACGAAATAACCTATTTCGTTAGTGTCGTTTTTCGTTTTCATAAAATTTCGAATACATTTCTTATAGAACACAAAAATATTAACTAATTAAATAATTTTGTATTTGTATATATTTGTGCATTTATATTTGAATGTTGAAATTTTGAATAATTCGATAATTAGATATATCAATATTAATATAATTTAACATTTTCGCAGAAGAAAAGTTAAATGTAAAAAATATCGAAGGTCGTATTGTTGGTGGAGTACCAGCCGACATAAGAATTTTTTCATGGCAAACATCAGTTCAATGGAGAAAACAGCATTTTTGTGGTGGCTCTATTATTAATCAGAACTTTGTATTAACTTCTGCAAATTGTGTATACGGGTAAGTCTCATGATATATATTAATGGGTAGAAAACAACAACAGTTAGGAATTGTTTAATAATAATATTTGAAAGTAGTGGGAAAAAGGTGTATGACCAGCCAATACCTTAATTATTACGACGTCACATCAGGAGATGAACGGCAATGTTTAATAATCCATAAAAAAGTATTTTCATTCGTTGTTAGTTTTGTTTGGCTGTGAGCACTGTTCTTTATTTTACGAGACCTTAATATATGTTATTTAATTGTTTTATAAGATTTTTTGTTATTTATGAGTAAGAACCAACAGTTTTTTTATATAACCTCTATAAAAGCTTGCATATGACTGGGGTAAGAAAGACAAAGAAAGATAATGTAAACAATAAAAATATTAAACTAGTGGGACGCATGGCATCGTGCCTTAAGGCAAATTGTTGGAACTTCCCGTACCAAAAATTATTTTTTTTAAAAAGATTAACATTTTTGAACAAAATTTACTCTGAAAAAATTAGATTTTTGAGAAACTATAAATTTTTGGTTGGTTGGTAAAAAATTTGGTAAAAACTCACTGTTTTATGAAAAAAAAAGATTTTTTGAAGAAAAATTTATTTTGAAATATTTTGGAAATTCTGAACTATTTTTCAAAGCAATTGTACTGCTTTAACTGCACAGAGACGAAATATCGAAGCGCGTAAGCGCCGCATCGCCGTCTAACGAATAAACACTGGTACGGAACCCATAGAAATGTAAACAAAATTTATACTTATTGTTAAAATCTCTATAAAATATCTGATAATTAATTGTGCATATGTCTAATGATCATTTTTGACCGTCAAATGGCATTTCTTTTTACTTTTTAACTAGATCTCCGAAACCACTAGACCTACCTTCACGAAAATTTGATCAGTTCTTTATCTTGTTAATACAAATCGGACGCCCCGTTCTCTTAAAAACTGAGTTACCGTTTTTGGCACTTCTTGCCCCATATCTTCGGAACGGCTAGACCTGCCTTTGCCAAAAACTAATCAACACGTCTCCTTATCAATACGAATCGAATGTTTTTTGAATTATTCAAATCATTTCATCCGTGTTCCCGAAATCGTCGACAAAAATTTGTATCCGAACACACACACATACGCGCACATAACACACACACACATACATCCATTTTTTTAAAGGTATGCCAAAATGTTCAGAAGATTTTCAAACGTAAAGATATATAAAAAGCTCCATTTTCGATTTTTTTGCCATTACTATAACGGGGTTAATAAAAATACCAAATTAATAAACCAATATATTTCAACTCATAAATTTATAAAAATACCAAATTAATATATACAGTTTTCTTTGTACAAAAATGTACAAAGTTTATATTGATAAAATCATTGATTGAAACTTTAGCTATTACTTTCTAAAATTCCTTTAAAACTAAAATTAAGACATGGCCCGCTAATGGGGTAAAACGGGACAGATGACAAATTTTAGAAAATTAATGAAAAACACATTTAGTATAATTAGGAAGTAACTGGGAATTTTACAGAACATAGTTCGATAGTTTTTTGTTTGATACGTGTTATATACTGTATGTAGTTCATATGGTTTTAGACAGTATAATTACTCGAATTGGACCTTCTTGCCCCGCCCTACCTAATATTATTGGTGGTTTCTGGATATCATATATATATATATATATATATATATATATATATATATATTGCAACATTATGTGAAAAAATAATCAATCTGCAAACATTTTGCAAGAGGCAAATAAAAATAGAAATCATCTTAGAAATAATTTGTCTAAATAATGTAAGCATGGTTTTATGATTAAGATAACTGAAAAATGTGTTATGATTGATCTTAAATCAAGATACTTTCATGATATTGAATTGCATTTAATTTTGTGGATTTTTTAAAAATATTGTGCATTTGTACATTTTTGGCATTCTTTTTGCGTTGTATTCTTGAAAGATTTTCACCTCTTGAAGATTTGTTCAAATTTTTTTGGAAACTTGATCCCTTTAAATAAAAAAAAAATAAATGTGAAAATGTTTGAAAAATTGGAAATATAAAAGGAGACCTATATTTGTACTAAATCCATGAGGTAGTAATCCATAAAAGATTTACTAAAAAAATATTTGAACTGTAGTTTTTTTATTTAAATAAAATTATGCAACCAATAATATTATTATTTTGAACAGTTTCAAAGACGTTGCACTTGGAAATGATCTAACAACATCTTCGGGTCACAACAACTGGAAATTGGGTCGTCAGGATATTGTAGCAAAAATTATTATCCATCCTGGTTTCAATATAGACACTCTTGATAATGATGCTGCTTTACTCCAAATGAGATCGCCTATCGTAATGACCGATTCAATACGACCGATAACTTTAACTGAAATAGGCCAGGAACCTGTTGCTTATTCCCCTGCTATCATAACTGGATGGGGCGATGTAAAGGTAATGAAACCGAAGAAACAAATAACAATTTCAGAATTTGGAAACATTACTACATTAGCAGTTCATGCACAGATACAAAAAATATTAATTAGTTTGCTAATCCTTCATAACGATACGATTATTTGATTAAATTCACAAAAATCGAAAATGTGTGTAAGAGGTTTTCACAAACTTGCGATGGAGTTAGGTCTTTTACATAAGTTTGAGGATATTTGCGCAAACAGATTTGCACAAATAATCTTATTTTGTAGAGCGCCTATAAGGATATAACCTAGACAATTTTCTCATTGTTAGAATGTAACCATAAATGTGCTATAAATAACTAGTGTTACAGAATTACAATGTAAGAATTCAGAAGCAAAACTAAATATATCCTGAAAAAATCAGCATACTTCAAAATATTCTGTTGAATAAGTTATTTCTTTAAAGACAATTTTAATAATCTTTCAAAAAGAATTGAAAATATCCCGATGTTTCAACAGCTTTAACAGCGTAAGCAAATCTGCTATTGGTATAAAAACTGATGTTCAATTTAAATTCACTATCAATATAATTAATTGTAGTTAATTGTAAGTTAACCGCAAAAAAATCCGATTAATCAAGAAAGCATGAAAATATTAAAAACGTTAGTATATTGCGTTTGGAAGACATGGTTTAATCCAACAAACATACAATTTAATCATTTTAGCAATATTATTGATAATTTCAAAACAACTAGCACGTTAAAAATTGTTTATTCACTTTTCAGGAAAATGCAAATAATGGTTCACTATACCTGAGAGGGGCTATAGTGCCAGTAATAGGAAGAAACTTTTGCAGAGGTTTAAATTCAGGACTATATACCTCAGTTAATGACAAGTAAGTCATGTTAGTCCAAAATAAATGAATGGAACTAATTGTGCATAGCATCGTGCCTTAAGGAAAATTGCTGGAACTTTCCATATCAAAAATTAATTTTTTTAAAAAAGATTTAATTTTCTTTTAGAAGTTTTAAAAATTTTTGAATGAAAATTTATCTATTGAAATTGAAAATTCTGAACTTTATTACAAAGCAATCGCTATACGGTAGCTGTGTAGAAACGAAATATCAAAGCGAGTGAGCGCCGCGTCGCGGTCTAACGGATAACATTAGTACGGAACTCATAAAAAAGTATACAAAATTTGTTCTTAATAATAACCGAATAGACCTAATAAGTGAGTTAATTTTTACCTCAAGTTAGAGTCTATATTACAACTGCTATAGTAAACGTAAACGAAAAATTTGCTTAAAAAATAATGACTTTTTGTTTTGTGCTATAATAAAATTCTAACAATATATTATATTGAAATTTTATTAATTCATATAACGAACATCACATTTCGCACACATACATACTTTTTGCAAAATTGATCTCAATCGATTCAGAATGGCTAAAAATGTCGAGAAACTAGCTGTAAGTGGAATTCTGCCTTAAGGCAATTAGGGCATCTAAGGCATATTGCTGGAACTTCCCGTACCGCAATTCAAAATTAGAGTAATTAAAAATAATCAATAATAATAATCAATAAAAGTTGATCAATAATTTGAAACTTTTAATAGAATTTCGAACCATATTAAATCATTCTATCTTAAATCATTTATTTTGAAATATTTTGCAAATTCTGAACTTTTTTTCAAAGCAATCGTACTGCTTTAACTGCATAAAGACGAGCGCGTAAGCGCCTCGTCGCCGTCTAAAGCGTATACATTGGTACGGAATCCATAGGAAGGTAAATAAAATTTATACTTATTGTTAAAATCTCTACAAAATATCTGATAATTTGATGTGCATATGTCTAATAATCATTTTTGACCGCCAAATGGCTCATTTTTTTAATTTTTCCTTCATATCTCCAAAGTCGTTGGACCTGCCTTTCCAAAAATTTGAACAGTTTTTTATTTCATCAATACAAATAAAATGTTTTTTGAATTATTCAAATCGGACGCTCCGTTCTCTTAAAAACTGAGTTACCATTTTCGGCATTTTTTGCCCCGTATCTTCGGAACGGCTAGGCTTGCCTTTGCCAAAAACTGATCAGCACGTCTCCTTATCAATACAAATCGAATGTTTTTTGAATTATTCAAATCGGTTGATTCGTGTTCCCGAAATCGTCGACGAAAATTTGTATCCGCACATACATACACACACGCACATACATACATACACACACACACACATACATCCATTTTTTCTAAGGTATGCCAAAATGTTCAGAAACCTTTGAAACGTAAAGATATATAAAAATTTTCATTTTCGATTTTTTTGCGATTACTATAACTTGCCCTACGGGAAGTTAACAAAATTAGCAAGTTGGATTTTCTGATGAAATCTTGAACTTCTTCGGAAAGTTAAAAATATTAATTTCATGCACGAATGTTTATTCAAGAATTTAACTACCAAGTTTTTGGTTCTTGTAATATTTTGGAAGTCTATACAAAATCTTACTTAATTAACATTGTTATTTATAATATTTTAGTATGTTCTGCGCCGGTTATATAGATGGCGGAGTTGACACATGTACTGGAGACAGTGGTGGACCAATAATTGATATGGAAGCCAACCAAATAGGAATAACTTCGTGGGGTATAGGATGTGGTAGAGAGCACGCCCCTGGAATTTACACCAGAATTGGTGCTTCCAGCATCAGGAATTTTATAAACGTACAGACTGGAGTATAAAAACAGTACATAAATGCCATTAGAAATGAAAATTTTATTGTATGTTGAATTTAAATGATTGATTTATATAAATACCCGATACAGTAGCATTATTACAGATATGAAATAAAATTTATCCTTGATCTGTAATGTGATTTTTTGTATCAAATATATTTTATAAATATATTTTTATTACAATGCTATCATAACTCTCTTAAACTTTTTTTTAACTTACCGTGAAAATTAAATATTTTGCATTTCTCGAATCATCTATTATAATATAAATTTTTCTAGCGATTATAAATTTTGTTATACCACGTTACATTAACAAATGTAGTTAGTATTTTCTCAGTTTTGTATGCATTTTTGAATCGTTGGGTGTGTAAATAAGGATTTAATGGCATATATAATAATTTATTATAATTTTAAAATATTTTTTTTCAATAATTAACTACCCATAATGTGCCAAAAATCAAAATTGAAAATTTGTGAATATCTTCACGTTTCAGAGGTTTTCGAACATTTTGGTATACTTCAGAAAAAATGGATGTGTGTGTGTGTTTTTTGTGTCCATATTTTTAATTGAATTAAATAGATATGATTCTAACCAATTATCGAAAGTAAAAACTTATCCAGTTTGAATATTTTATTGTTTTTGGTCAATTTTTCTATATTGATTCATCTATTTGGATTTTTGATCCAATTAGTTCATAAAGTGAATTATAGAATGAGTTCGTGGTCCACCAAGATTCTGCCGAACTCTATTAAAATGGTACACATTTTATGGATAAGGCCAAAGGACCAGATATAATTAGTTAATGGTTATATCAGACAGATTAAAATACGATAAATAGTTTAAAATTTTATCATGTATAAAAAGTATAAGAGTATATTTCTATGATTTCAGTCGACAAGGGTTGAGTCTCTATTGTAATAATATATATATTAACTAGTGGTGTATGGCCTTAAGGCAAATTGCTGGAACTTCCCGTACAGTAATGAAATGATCGAGGAATATTAAATGTTTTCATATAGAGTTGTGTATAACATTGTCTAATATTTATAAGAATTGTATAAACTGAATTATTGAAAAAGTTGAAATTATTTGTTTAAAGTATATTAGAACAGATTTAAAATTAAAATCTGAATTATTTTCGATAAACAAATAAAAAAAAATCTTGAAAAAACTTTTTTTTTTCAAAAATAAATTAGAAACAAAAATTGTTTTCTTCCAAAAGCAGAAAGTTCTTTGAATAATTTAAATCGGACGTTTAGTTCTCTCAAAAACTGCCATTTTTTGCACATTTAGCTCTGTATCTTCGAAATGGCAGGACTTGTCTTTGCTAAAAACTAATCACCTTCTACCAATCATTACAAATTGAATGTTTTTGAATCATTCAAATCGGATACTCCGCCCTCTCAAAACTCGATTTGTATTTTCTGCACTCTTTGCTCCGTATCTCCGTAACGTCTGAACATGTTTTTTGAATCATTCATATCGGTTGATTCGTGCGCCCAAAAATGTGGACGAAAAATGCGGACATGCAAAACACAGACACATCTATTTTTTCTGAGGTTCAGAAACCTTCGAAACGTTTATTAATATTTCATTTAAATTGCATTTAGCTTTAATATTTTTCTTTGGGACGCTGATACACAAGTTTCAATAGCAACATAAAACTCAAAATTGCATGAAATTTTTAAATAGTAGAATGGTACGACTCTAAGCCTTTTATATAAATGTTAAACCCATTTCAAACACTCATATATACTTGTAATTAAGATATTTGAATGACACCAATTATATGCCATCAATCTTTTGCAAAATAGTTGAGATAATAAACATTTCATTATTTTGTTAAGTGCGCTCCACGTTTAACCAATTTTTAAAATGATAGCAAAATTACTATTATTTTCAGGCAAAAATGCTGGGCGTATGAAGACATGCAATATTTTAATTTATGCAAAAATTTATAACACTAATCAAAATTTTCCTATATAAGTAAAATTTTGAATTTGAAAAACTATCGGTGTAAAATAAAAAAAAGTTCAAAATGAAATTCGCGTTATTATTCCTCTTGACAGTGAGCTTAGGAGCAGCCAGGCGCCATAGTCGTGCACGTAAGTCAACTTGTAATAAATATTATACAAAATGTTTATTTCACTAGTTAAAGGCAGGAAATATGCAGATGCTAAAATTACTACTAAACCATTTCTCAAATTTTACTGGGAAATAGTTTGTTTTTAGTGAAACAGCACAATGAAAAATTCTTAGATTGATTTGTTTTTGAGTTTTTTTTTCAAGTTTTTTTTTCATTTTTTTGCCATTTGACCCCCCTTTTTGACTTAAAATTCGTGTTCAGTGGTGAAAACTACATTGTTTAACATACCCCGCATACCTTTTTTATCTTTGTGTTATCCATAATTTAGTATATTCATAGAATTTATTTTCAATTAGCTATTCTCGATATTTTTTCTTTAAAAATTTTGAAAATTACGAAATTTTTTGTGAAAACATTTTTGCACATCGTCTAAACAAGCAGAAGCTAGGTATTTTGAATTAATCTAATCGGACGATCCGTTCTCTCAATGAGTGCATGACCATTTTTACACCTTTTGCGCTCCATTCATTCGAAACGGCTACTACCTTCGAAACATGCCTTTTGCAAAAATGTCTCGCGATCGAATACGAACGTTCACGATAGTTTACGAATTCGATTCATTTATGCGCCCGAAATCGTGGACAAACTAGTTGGTATTGGTATTTTGCCTTGAGGCAAGTTACATGAACTTCCTCATATGTGATATGTGTAAATAATCGACTTAATCAATAAAAAATAAATTAATTCATGAGTGATTAAAAGTATTCCGAGTGGATTTATTACACATAATTGAAAACGAACGAAAACGTTAATCGGAGTATTTTCTAAAAGCAAATGTTCAAAAATCAATAATTTTTTGATTTCCGAACCAGTTTCCGTAGGACTTTAATGATTTATTACGTTTATTAAGACGAAGTACTCTATCGTTATACCAGATGCATCGTCTAATTTTAATTTTAACAAGCGTCAAAAAAAAAACTTATTTTCTCAAACTTTGACAAATTTTTAAAATTAAACTACTCGTCGTAAGGTCATAATAATTTAGTAAGTTCTATAAGACCATGGTATATATCGCCAAAAAAAAGTTCCATAAAAATCGGCTTAATTTTTTTTTAACAGTTAATTACAAGAAAACGGCTTGGTAGATTTTCACCGAAAACTAATCAGTATCATTCCCAACTAATATCTTTCGAACAGTTTTTGATTTTTTAAAATCGAATCGGTAGTATGAGCTTAAATATGGACGAAAAGTTTAACACTTTTTTCCAAATTTCAAAGAAGCTCGGCCAATCATCGCACAAAACTGACAAGCGATAGTCCTCATTGAGACACACACATTAAATTTCTGAAATCGGTTCAGGCGTTTTTGAGCAATCGTCGATGAAATGTCTAATTATGACAAATGCCAAAAAAACAATACTAATTTTTGAAAACTTTGACGAATTTTTAAAGTTAAGCGAGTTGTCATAGGCCCGTTATATTTTAGTATGATCTAGAAGACTATGGTATCTACCGTCAAAAAAATAATAATAAAAATTGTCGAAAAAATTTTTTTTGACACTTTATTACAAGAAAACGGCCCGGGCGATCTCTACCAAAAACTCATCAGCAAGATTCCCAACCAATATCTTTGGAACGGTTTTCAAATTTTCAAAATCGATTCAGAACTGCGGGCTAAAACATGGATGACAATTTTTACACTTTTCTGTTATTTACTAAGAAACGACTTGGCTGATCGTCATGCAAAATTGATAAACGCTAGCCCTCATCGCGATACATGAATTTTTGAAATCGGTCCAGCCGGTTTTGAGAAAACGTCGATTTACGGCAAAAAATCTGTTCACACACACGCACACGCACACATACATACTTTTTCCAAATTCGGTCTCATTCGATTCAGAATGGGTTGAAACGTCGAGAAAACATAAAATTAGCGAATCGAATTTTTTTAAAAACAAACTTCTCCTTCGGGAAGTTAAAAATTACACACACACATCCATTTTTTCTAAGGTATGCCAAAATGCTCAGAAACCTTTGAAACGTAAAGCTATGCAGAAATTTTCGTTTTTGATTTTTTTGCGATTACTATAACATACCTTATAGGAAGTTAAAAATCTTGATACGGAACCTAAAAAAATTTACACAAAATGTGTACACACGATTACAATCTCGATAAAATACCTGATATTATAATGTTCATATGTCTAATGATCATTTTCGATCGCCAACTGACTTTTTTTAACTTTTTTTATTGAGAGTCCATAACCGCGTTTCAAAAATTTAAACAGTTCTTTTTTGAAATATTCAAATCGGACGCTTCGTTCTCAAAAATTAAATTACGTTTTTTGGCCTTTTTCGCCCAATATCTTTGAAACGGCTAGACATGCCTTTGCCAAAAACTAATCAGCACGTCTCCTTATCAATACGAATCGAATGTTTTTTGAATTATTCAAATCGTTTGATCCGTGTTTTCAAAATCGCCAATTCCATTTTTTCTAAGGTATGCCAAAATGTTCAGAAACCTTTGAAACGTAAAGATATATAAAAAAATTTATTTTCGATTTTTTCGCGATTACTATTACTTACCCTACGGGAAGTTAATATTTAATTGACTTAAAGGACTGGCATTGAACAATGATCGCATTGTCGGCGGCCAAACAACAAGTATTGAGAATCAACCTTGGATTGTTTCGATGCGAAGCAATGGTCATCATATATGTGGTGGATCAATAATCAGCGAAGATTGGATCGTTACTGCTGCACATTGTATTAAGAGGTAAAATGGCACTTCCAAAAAATATATATAAAGAAATAAATGTCCATGTAGTAATCCTTTCCCTATAAGCGATACCCATGCATGACTACTGGTGTGTACGAGTGTCTCATTAGACGACATCCACATTACCAGGGTTAAAAGCGTTCATACAACTTAAATATAAATTTCAATTATTCTAAGTGTACATTATATTTCAATTTAAAATTTAACGCTAACAATTATTTATTATATTTAGAGAATGGCTCAATAACACATCACCAGTGAGTGTAAAGATTGGTACTAGCCATAGGATACTTTATGGTAGAGTGATAGACATAAAAGAAATTATAATGCATCCAGACTATACGTCTGTATCAGGAAGTGGATACGATGTAGCACTATTGAAACCGTCTACAAAAATTGTTTTTAACTCAAAATCTATCAAACCTGTAAAGCTAATTGATGAAGGAATCGAAACGGCTAATGGTTCAATAGCAACCGTGGCAGGTTGGGGTAAAGTAGTGGTAAGTTAATTTTTCATATTTCAGAAAACAATTATATATTTTCAAAGAAACTAGCCTAAACGTGTGTCTAACAATTTAATAATTTAAGAGTCATTTTGAATGCATATTCGACCAGCGGCAAATGAAAACAGTGTTCTTCACTTAGTATTACAAATCAAATTTAAAAACAAATTACCATCAAAAATAGTATATAATGTACAAGTTTATTCTACTACAAATAACTTCAATAATATTTTCCATCTCATTTTATTATCTCTTTCCCGTCTAGCTTTTTTCTGTGCATCGATGAGCTTTTGCACTTTATGGAACATCAATGGCTTAAGTAAAAGCTCATTTTTCAATACGTGTCACCTTTTTTCTCGCAATATGTTCAGTATTGTAATTATTTTTTTTTGATAAAAATAATCAAATTTCCAATTTCTGATTTTCACGAATGTAAAAATCAGAAGGTTATCGAGATACTTCTTTTTACTAGGATTATTTTAAAAATAATATCTTATTGGATTCGTATATTTTTTTTATAATGGTAGATTATTTATCAATGTTTTTTGGCAGGAATTGAGTCTTAAGAATAAAACAAAATCATATAATGTGGAAATATGTTGATCAAAATTAACAATATAATTATTACAGGATGGTTTTCCGTACATACCTAATTATTTATTGGCTGTAAATGTACCGATTATTGATAGCGATACATGCAAGTCGATGAATATTGAATATCAAAAATATTTGAAACCAAAGTAAGTAGATATGCATCGATATAAAATTATTGAACAACTATTACTTATTTGAAATTTACACTAATGAGAGATGGTTAACCCAACTTTTTATTAGATATATTTACATTACATATTTTTTTTTTAGATATTTTTGAAATTAGTCATATAATCAATTTCATCAAAACATCATCTGATGAATGATTCAGTTTTTAATCCAAATATATGGCAATGTACTGTACGAATTCACTAAAGTTAACACAATAACATAATTAACATATATTAAATTCATTTTGGTGAACTGTAGTATTCAAAGCCTTTGTAATTTTTGTTGGATATCATTTTGTTGGAAACTGGTTTTTGGCATTGACTGATAATTTTTTAAATATTTCATTTGTTAGTATGATATGTGCCGGATATGCAAAAGGTGGTAAAGATTCTTGCCAAGGAGACAGTGGTGGACCACTAGTGAATAGTGACGATGTCCTGATAGGAATAGTGTCCTGGGGCATTGGATGTGCCAAACAAAATTATCCAGGAATTTATACGAATGTAGCTGAACATAGTGTAAGAAACTTCATTAAAGAGCACACTGGAGTGTAGTTTTTATAATGTCTCTAATTATATTTACTATTTTTTATAAATAAAATTGACAAGCAGATATTTGTTCTTCTTTATAGACATTATTTCAGTTAATAATATTTTTCAGACCAATAACAATAACGTATCAAGTAAATAACACATATTTTATATTGCTAAAGATGTGAATCAAAACAATATTCCAATCAAAAGCTCGAGACTTTGCATGTTGACAAACTAGAGGCAAAAATAAGTTTTCATTATAGCCAGTTTGAATTTGCAACTGATGTATTTTGTAGTAGCAAAATATTTTGAAAGCATTTTGATTTTTTTTAAAAATATTTTGTTTATGAAAATTCTACTCATAAATTGTGTACTAATATATTTTAAAGGAAACGTGGAAATTTTAAAGTGGCTAAGATCGGCAATACGAACTATTAATGACGATGAAGTGAAATCATACACACGTTTTTTAACCCTTTCCACTCGCTAATTCTGAGATTTATATGAATTTTGCCGCCGGCATCAGCGGCATCCGAGTGGATAAGGTTAAATGTGTATGGAAATATTGTGGCATTATATTGTATTTTAAAAACCAGTAATCACTATTGTCAAACTAATTATAATACTAAATTTAAATAGTTTTTATTATCAAAGGGCGCTATTATATTTCAATATAAAAAATATAATATCAAACGACTAGGAAATAGAAATATGTTTTATTAACCACTTAATAAAAAAAAGTATAGTTTACCTCTGCATACTATATTTTTATTTTGTCCGTAAAATCTTCAGTTAAAATTTATTAATAAAAATTAAAATAACATTAAACATATATCTATAATCACTTCTAATAAAATATATATTAACGATAAAATTGCAAAAACCAATTACTCATAAATATGTATTTGTATTACGCAAGTATCGATGTTTTTTTTGAATAAGTTATTTGCAAAAAGCAAAGCTTATCTTAATTATGAAAAATATTCCCAGGACATATATTTCAATAAACGTTGAACTATTCGACTGACAGTTCATAATGAGAAGTAACAAAACAGAATTAGTTTTCTTCATTATTTTTGTTATATTTTGCCTATGTGTTTTACAAATTAGTACTGGAAGAAAGAGTAAGTAAATAATATAAATAAATAAAAAATTAATAAATAAATCTATATATATATATATATATATATATATATAAAGAGCAAGAGAGGGAAAAAAGAGAGAAAGAAGACAGGGTACGGTTGTGCCACTTTTTTTGATTAGCAATAATTTTTTTATTTACTAGTTATCTGGGAGAAAAGTAAATTAAATGCAATTTGAACACATAGGAGATACTGAAATACTATCTTTAAATATGATGCATTACTTATAAGGTCGAAGTAAAACTTATTTGCTAATGTACGAGATGGCATTTAAGTGAAAATAAATGCATCATATAACAATTTATATTATATTATTATTTAGTATTATTTTATTATTCAGAAATTTTATTCATATTATTTATTAATTTTATTTTTATTATTAATTGCTTATATTTTATATCAAATCATATTACGGATATATTTTCATGTAAATTTTATTCTTTGCACTTTTATTTATTTAAATTTATGTTACTATTTATCAATATTACTTGATATTAATAATTTAACAGTTGTAATACTTATTGAAATTAAAAAAAATAATAATAACAATTTTGAATAATGTTATTAGTAGTATGGTAACACTCGTGATGCACATATTTATTAGTGTCAACCAATATACACATTTATATAATGATAAATTATAATTTATATATTTATAATAGCATTAAAAATATGTACAATATTTAAAAACAATAATGTAATTAAAGTCATACTTTAAATATGACATGATCGGTTTGTCATTGTAATTAGCATTTAGAAATGAACCTTTATCAGAGAAATGAAGTAATTGCTGATTAATAACTTCTATAATAATCGCTCACACAGTGGATTATGTTAAACAACGCCTACACAAATATTGTTTTTGCAACTTCACTCATCATGTAATTGTGTTTGAAGAACTTCATGTAATTAAAACAACATAATTACTGGCCGCTTGTATTTTTTTTTTACTTTTTTGCGATATAATCTCATTCTTTGAACAACTGTAATATCTGTCTTGCCTAAAAAAATTTTCCATTTTAATAACTTCAAAGATTTACAGAAGTTACGAATAATATAGAAATAATTTCTAAGGAACAGTGTAAATATTAAGAAACAGGGTAAATTATTCTTCTGATTCAGACATTTTTATTAAATCAACATTTGTACTACGATGTAACTTTAAAATGTTTATTTATCTATGCCGATTTCCGTGTTGATATCGGTACGCATACAACGTTGACGCCGATACGCATGCAACAACAGATCTCTATTCACATACGCGACTAATCACAATCGACCCGTATAGAAATGATATCATCGAGAGCGAACGACCAATCATTGGCACTCGCCGTAACGCACGTCCGTTGCATTTGTACGGATTTACACCCTAGTCGCGCCTAAAGAAGTTTTACTTCAAAAAGTGGGTCGCTAGTTTTACTTCAAAAGCTAGTGTCACAACGGTCTATGCCCGAAGGAATCTCAAAGACATTTTGTTGAACCATGAGTTAATTTTTTTTTATTTAAAAGTGGGGTCGACTTTTTAACTCGTGTGGCAAGTTCTATCAAAAGTTGGCGCATTCAATCGGGATTAGAGAGAATATTTGAACTAAATATGAGCGAAATATGTTATATGTTATAGTGTTAGTTTTTTAATTTTTTACCCTAAATTTTTCAATAATTCTCTTTAAAAAGTACTAATATTTGTTTTAAAATATTAAATATAAACCAGTTAAAATTTAATTTTGTTTTTAGATATTAGAAAAAAAGTAAGACACATTAACGATGCACGTATTGTTGGAGGTGAATTAGTTGATATCGCTGATTACGGATGGCAGGTTTCCATTCAACGAAATAATCAACATTTTTGCGGTGGTTCAATTATCAACGAAAAATGGATTCTATGTGCTGCTCACTGTTTCGTAAAGTATTCAAACATATCAATTCAATGTTGTCGACTAGCTAGCAAGAAAGAATTGATTTTTCTCTATTTTTTTTTATAAAAAAGTTTATTTTTGTGAATATTATTATTTGCAAACTCTCTATTATACAAAATTAAATCGCAAACTCATTTCATAATATCTCTAATTGTCGATTTAAATGTTTTCGTATGAGCCTAAATTTTATTACGTATAATTATACAGTAATAAAGAAGTCAATTTTAAAGCTTATTAACGTAAAAATATTCACCATACGAATTAATTTTTATTTTATATATATGGAAATTTATGCTAACTCATTTGTTGTTATCATTTCAAAGTAAATATTAATATAAAGGATGTAGTGGAAATATAACTGATAACTAGGCCGATTTTACCATGAAATAGACTAATGTTATGGCAATGCTGTGTAACGAAATAGTTTTCATACAAAATGGTACTAAATACTATCAAAATATCATATGATATTATTCCATACCAGAAAGATGTAGTTATGATAATATCGTTTTTTAACTAGGTTAGGTACTCTATCAAAAACCCTGACTGCCCAGCAACCACATGGCTTTTGACAATATTTATTATCATTTTGTATGAATACTGCTATAACATAGGTCTAATGTACAGCAGATTCGGTCAAAATATTTCATTAAAAATTTTGATATTTTATTAGAACTATTAATTTACAGAACATTAAAATATGTTTTAATAATAGTATTTCTAGTATTATTTTATTAGTATTTCTACAAGGTTTCTTGGAAATTACTTTTGTTCAGTAATTATTTATTGATATAATATTTTTAAAATTCATTATAATTCATAGTGCAAAGAATCCAGAACATTACTCGATTCGAGCTGGAAGCAACAAAAGCACTGAAGGCGGCGTAGTACATAAAATTAAGGAATTTTTCATTCATCCAAAATATAATGCGATAGAGTTTGATTTTGATGCATCATTACTGCAACTGAAAGATCCATTAGTACTAAATGGAAACACAATTCAAGCAGCAAAACTGATAGAAAAGGGCCTCGATATTGCAGCAGGAACCATTGGCACTACTACAGGATGGGGTCAGGAAACGGTAATGCTTTTGAACCATAACTCGATATGGCTTGATTGACAAAATAATAAATAAAGATAAAAAAATGTAGAATCTCAATTAGTTAGGTCAATCGAAAGTGTGCCTTCTAACAACCTCGGTATCATATACACTTAATTTTTTTTTTACTTTCCATCGAACTATGAATCGTCCCATTTCCTTTTGAATGATTTCTTTTTAAATGTAACTTTAGTAGATATCAAGTTTTATCATACCACATACATAGAATGGAAAGGTCTTGCTATTTTACAAAATTAATAAATATATAAACTATTTATGGATGAATGATTGTATATAATGTTAATTTTAAACAACTCATGAATTTACTTAGAAGATATTAAACACTAGATATTAAATGGTTAAACACATTTTAGGAGTGAACAATGCAATATGTACACGTCTCAAGAATGGTTTTAATTTTAACTACGATAGTAATAAATTTTGTTCTATTCTGAATAATTAACCTTTACTGCTAAATAATAAATAATTATCTAGATGTTAATTTTATGTAGGATGGTGGAAAAACAAGTACCTTATTATATGGAGTGGATACACCAGTATAAACTAAATCGCAATGTGAAAGAGCAGTATTGTATCAATATAACATAACCGAGAAGTAAGCACATTTTATCTTAAAAGATCACTATTTGTTTTTATTAATATCTAACTAGCCACTTATATTGAAATTAACCTTCAAGATATTTTTTTTTATTATGCATTCATAAATTTTGAACAACTGAATTAATACTAGGCTTATGAAAGGAAACTCTTAATCATATGAAATAATTAATTCTGCATAATTAATTTTAGCATGATTTGTACAAAACTTGGTGATCTAGGACCGTGCAGAGGCGATAGTGGTGGTCCAATTGTAGATAAAAATAAAACACTATTTGGAATTGTATCATGGGGTGGCAATTGTAAAGAAACTACATTTCCAAAGGTTTACGCCAAGATTTCGTCACCAGATATATTTAATTTCATCCAAGATCATGTAGATACATAATTTGTTGAAGGAGTAATAAACTCGTATGAGATGTTGGAATACTAATAATTTGTATTTTTATGTTATATATATATATATATATATATATATATATATATACTAGATGACCCGACAGAGATTGTCCAGCACCCACGTCCACAATTTGAGTTCAATTTTTCCTAATATCCTATCCTTTAGTTTTTAATATTCTTTTTAACGTCCTTCCATTTAATAAAATTTATCTGCCAAATATATATTGTATTTTATATTATTTTATTTACTGGCACATCTCAGCTGGTTTTCGGCAATAATATTGTAGATAATACATTTTACTTATTCATAATCATGGATATGAATATTATATACTAACATTGTCTAGTCTCGCTTAAACTAAATTTAAATTTCAAGTGAATCGACATTTTTGGCAAATTACAGTTCTCATGTATCAAAATTTGTCTTCAATGTCAAACAATGATATGTTGTTTTTGCATTTTACTATATTTACACATACATCCTAAAAAATTCCCTTAACAAACTTCAAAAAGATTTATCAAAATCCAAATAATCGTTTAGGAGGAGAATGTTTATAAACATCTTTACAAAAGAATTTTATATATAAGATATGGAAAGAAAAACATATCCCACATTCATCGCAAATCTAGAAAGACTACTAATTAAAACAAAATGTATATAATTATATATTAGGTGGTCTTAAATAATTAAAATATATGCATAATTTTGGTGCATTAAGCCTGATATTTTTATATGCGTGCCTCAAATACATATTCTTGGCCTTAAAATAGCCGTTTTAGCTACTTTTTCTCAAAAATCTAATTTAATGTTTTTTTAACCACCCAAATTGATTAATTTGTTCTTCGCAAATATTTTGATTTTCGATAAGATCATGAACCATGTTACTGAGCAAGCTTTATTAAGTACGAAGATATTTATAAAAAACAAATTATCACGGAGGTAATGCACTATAGTAAATACAATTGTAAATATTATTAGTTCCTTGGAAGTTATAATACGAACATCGAACTTACTAGTTTTTTTGTAAGCTAAATTTTAAACTATTATTCTAAATCATATAAATCTAAATTTTTATTCTTAAGTCGATTATTTACAGATATGAGAAAGATCATTAGACTTTAAATTAACGATGCACGTATTGTTGGAGGTAAAGTTGATATCGCTGATTACATATGGCAGGCTTCAATTCAACGAAACAATCAGCATTTTTGCGGTGGTTCAATTATCGACATAAAATGGATTCATTGTGCTGCTCACTGTTTCGTAAAGTGTTTGTTAATTTAGCTTTATGTTACAGAACTAGCAAGACATTTAATCTTTTTTTAAGTTACTCATTCTGGATATTATACAGATTACTTAATTTCTAAATTTACAAAATCCAATCGCCAACTATTTTCAGTATATAACGGTAAAAGCTCTAATTAATTATTGTTGAATGTTTTTGCGTAAAAATATTTTACATATAATTTGCAGTAACAAAGAAGTCAACTTTGAAGCTAATAGTCCAGTCAATTGGTGCAAAAAAAGGCTGTTGCCGGTACAGTACTCCGGGAATTCTGAAAAATGGTAATCTTATAGACTTCGAGGTGCTCTTTACGAAAATCAACTTTGCCACCTCAAATTTGAACGGAAAGTTGCCG